ATTGAATCATGGATTTGATCTGAACTGAGGAGTCATCAATTCACAATTAAGGGAATTGTTGATTAATGTTGGCTGAGAATGGACACTTTTCTGAAATAAAGTGTTCCACTGATTATACATGATATTAAAGGAATAATTCTTGAGCGCACTGGTCATCATTTCCTGGCTGCTTGCTGATCTTCAGTCTAAACGTTGGTTGTGGAAAACCCCGGTCGTTGGTACACACGGAAGATTCAAGAGATACGCATGTGTACAAATGAGGATAACTAGTAATATCGGTAGTTACCTTTCATGAACATCTGCTCGATAATGCGGCACATCGTTCGCGGCACATTGTATTGCGGCACACCTGGTCCTCACCAAGTGAGTGCGGCACGCCTGCATACAGCACCTGGCGAACATTGCACCTGCGTCGTCGATGTAGTCTGTATATCTGTACCTCAAGCTAGTAACCTCAATGTACTATAATGCTAACTCTCTGTGATTTCCCAGTGTACTGTGACTCAGGCATGGCATCCTTCTCTTCTTGCGACATACGTCCTTGAATGGAAAGCTCCGGTTGTCACCACGGCATTGGTTATTGCTGTTGTTGATTGATCTTCTCTATTACGAACAAAAGATGTGTCGGACATCGCCATGATGTACCTGTGCCGCAATATAATAGCAGGCGTGCCGCACTCACTTGGTGAGGAGCAGGTGTGCCGCAATACGATGTGCCGCGAACGATGTGTCGCGTTATCGAGTAGAGATTCATGAAAGGTAATTACCGATATTTCTAGTTATGCTCATTTGTACACATGCGTATCTCTGGAATCTTCCGGGTGTACCAACAACCGGGATTTTCCACCATCAGCGTTCAGACCGAAGATCAGCAAGCAGCCAGGAAATGATGACCAGTACGCTCAAGAATTTCGTTTTAATATCATGTATAATCAGTGGAACACTTTATTTCAGTAAAGTGTCCATCATCAGTCAACAGTATCTAACAATTCACTTAATTGTGAATTGATGACTCCTCAGTTCAGATCAAGTCCATTATTCAGTATTAAAGTACTGAAATCTCAAGTCATGTAATCAGTAAGTATAAGCTTTAAGTAAAGCTTGTACATTCCAGTTTTAGTATTTTCGAGGACGGAAATATTTTAAGGGGGGTGGATTGTAACGCCCCGTATTTTATTAATAAAGGAAAATACTAGCTTTTAGTTTTAAGCTAGCCTTTGTTAATAAATAATCATGTTCATGTTCAAGTTCGAGTTAATCAGCTAGTCATAATCCAAGTTCGACTATTAGTCGATAAATTATTCGGTTTAATTATTTGAGTAACCGAATAAGTTTCCAGATTTAATTCCGATTCATTTCTTTTATTAATGAGTTCGGAATTAATTACTCAGTCAGGAATATTCTGTCATGTTAATAGTATAAAATCATGTTTTAGTTCCGATATAATAATGTTGTCGATTATTATTTTCGGAATTAATTAATTTCAGTCGAGATTACCCGAAATTATTTTCGACGTCCCGTTTACGTTCGAAATAATTTTGGTAATTGAGTATCATGCTTAATAATTAATTAGGCATAATTTAGTGATTAATTAAACATTAATCACGATTAAAGGAGTATAAAGCCGTAGCATTTTTTTAAATCGGTCCAAATTGCCGTAAGCATTTTTCAAGTGGGGAAACAAGATTCCTTCTCTTTAAGTGCTTGAACGTGTCACCCACCCACAAGCCTCTATTTAGTCTCCAAATGTCAAGCTAAGGTGGAGACAACTCACCTCATCATTCCTAAGATTTTTTTCCTTCCACTCGGCCAAGTATATAAGGAGGAAATTGGGGCAAATTTTCCCCACTCCCTTACCAGCATATATAT